CTCCGCGCCCACGCGCAGCTCCACCTCGGCACCGCACCGGGAGAGGGGGGCGAGGGCGGCAGCCTTCTGCTCACCAGGGGCTTTCTCGGGAGGCCCTCCCTCCTCCAAGGGCCCTCCGCCTCCTCTTCAGTCTCCTCCTTCTCATCCTCCTCCTCCTCCTCCCTCCTCCTCCTCCTCCTCGTCCTCCTCCCCCCCCCCCCCCCGAGCTCCGAGACGACCGGGCAGACGGCACGACGGCGGGCCGAATCTCCACGAGGCCCCGGTGCCGCGATCCTCGGAGGCCCTCCCGCCCTCCGAGGGCCCTCCCTCGGCGAGCCCCTCCCGAGCAGAGACGACCAGGCAGGCGGCACGACGGCGGGCCGAACCGCCATGAGGCCACGGTGCCGCGAGACGGGGCAGCCTGAGGCGACGGGCCTGAGTCGTATTCGTCGCCCGAGTCCCGACAAGCATGCGTTTCACTCTCCGAGAAGGCCAACCACCCGGAGCGCCCCCCCCCCTCCCACCCCACCCCTGCCCGTCGGTCGGAAGAAGCAGGTAGAACCATGCGGTAGGAAGGCGCTGGACGTAGATTGGGCTCCCGCCCGCCCCCTGAAGAGGAGGGAAGCAGGACACCGCTCGACCCTGGACACCGCTCGACCCTGGAAGCAGGGGAGGCGCCCCAAATCGATTGGGATCTGGGAGTCCAGAAATACCTACTTGCAACGACCGGCGTGTAGTGTCTGCGCGCCGCCAACCACCTCCCAGAGCGCGCGGGGCCACGGGCTCGCACCCCCAGGGGTATAGTTCTCCGCCCAGGATCCCCTCCTGGGAACCCCGGACGGGCCCCAGAGGCCGAAACCTCGGAAAAACGCCGGGATTGGAAACTTTTTTGGTTGACTTGCTTTTTTGGTTGACGGCTCCCTGGCGAAGGTCAAGATTCGGGGCAACGAACGGGGCGCGAAACGAAGATAATTGGCCGCAGTGGCGCATGCACATGCAAGGGACAAAATGACCCAAATTCAAATGCGGGATTGGAAACGCGCAGTGTCGGAAATCTGACAGGAGGGCTTCTGACCCCCGGAGGACCCCCGGGGCGAATCAAAAGGCCGCCCAGAAGCGCCCCCACCCCCTCCTCGAGAAGCAGCGACGGGGCGGACGGGCTCAGCGGGGGACATCGAACTGGAATGGGCGATAGGTCCCCGACAGCGAATGTGGACGTTCCAGGGCAGCGTGGGCTTCTTGTCGGGCCCCAATCCGCGATGATCGGGGTCGATGCATCCCCCCCGGAGCCTCGCCCTCGAAATTGTCGGACCGCAGCTGCGACGGCCTCGGGCGCCCGCTCGGGACGACCCAGGCACCCCCCGGGCGCCCTCGGCGAGGCGCGGCCGCTGGAAGGCCTCCCGAGGCCGAGACACGGGCGAGAGCCAACGACACCGCCCGCACGCCTCGAGACGCTGCTCCCGGCTTCTCTGCGCGCCGCTGCCCGCCTCCAGCGCGCGCGGGGCCACGGGGCTCAGCCCGCAGCTGCTCTCCTCGCCGACGGGCCCCTCGCACGAGCCCGTGCCCTCGGAGCACTCCGCCGCCTCGCCGGGCCACTCGCCGCCCGCGCCGCCGCCGAGGGCGGGCTCTCCGCTGCCCGCGCCGCCGCCGACCGCGCCGCCGCCTCGAGCGCTGCTGAAGGGGGGGGGGGACACGACTGGGGGGAGGGGGGGGAGGGGAAGAAGCGTACACCTCTCGTGCCCCTCTGGGGCCGCGGGAGTGCCCCCCCCCCCCCCTGAGGGACCCCGAGGTGTGCGGACGAGGCGCCTCTCTTCACCAAAGATGGGGGGGGGCGGAGACGCGTGCGCCTTTCGCGCGCCTCTTGGGCCCCAAGAGGGCCCCTTTAGGCCCCCAGGGTGAAGAGTGCCCCTCTTGTGTCGCAAGAGGGCCCCTTTAGGCCCCCAGGGTGTACGAAGTGTGCCTCTCCCAAGAGGGCCCCCCAGGGCATACGAAATGTGCCCCCCCCCCCCCCCCCCCCCCCCCCCCTGGGCCCCAAGAGGGCAAGGCCCCCAGGGTGTACGAAAGGTGTACTTCTTTACTTCTCTTCACCCTCCCATTGTCGGCTGCGAGCGAGGGGGGGGGGGGAAAGAGAAGGAGAAGGCCTTCTCACAAGGCGGCGGGACTTCTCAGAAGCCCTCGCGCCCTCTGAGAAGTGTTTCTGTCCCTGGGAAAAGCTTAAAAACTTCTCAGAGGACCGGGGGACTTCCGAACCTTCTGAGAAAGGCCTTCTCCTTCTCACTTCACCTTCCCTGGACGCTTGCTGATTCCCCTGTTGCTGAGTCTCTGCGCAAGAGGAGGGCGGACACATCGTGCCCCCCACCCCTCTCCCGGAATCGACAGGTTTCTTCTGCCTCGCTCGCCGCCGACATTGATCGCCCCCCTCATTCATTACCAGCCTGGAACATATCCCGATCCCTATGCTGGGCACCTCCTCATCACGATGCCAATCTTAGGGGCTCCCTAATTTTTTCAAGGCGAATCCCTAAGATTATCATCACCTTTTGGCGTGCCAATCTTAAGGATAGGGATACGTTCGAGGCTGGTAAATTGAGCAGCGCCCGACCGCTGAGGGCGGGCCACGCGCCCGCCGCGCCGCCGCGCAGCGCGCCCCCGCCGACGCCGCCGAGTGCGCCCTCGGGGCCGGGCCCTGGCGGCCCGCCGGCGCTGTGGGGGCGCGGGGCGGCCACGTCGGCGTGGTCGGGCGCGGGGGGCGCCGCCGTGCCGAGAGCGAGGAGGAGGAGGAGGAGGAGGAGGAGGAGGAGGAGGAGGAGGAGGAGGAGGAGGAGGAGGAGGAGGGGGAGGAGGGGGAGGAGGAGGAGGAGGAGGAGGAGGAGGAGGAGGAGGAGGAGGAGGAGAGGAGGAGGGGAGGAGGAGGAGGAGGGAGGAGGGGGGGAGGAGGGGAGGAGGAGGAGGAGGAGGAGGAGGAGGAGGAGGGGGAGGAGGAGGAGGAGGAGGAGGAGGCGGAGGAGGAGGGGGAGGCGGGAGGATGGGCAGGACGACGACGACGACGACGATGAAGACGACGAAGACGGACGACGACCCTGACGAACGACCGACGACCGACGACGGACAAAGTACGACGGACGAAGGGCGACGGACGACGGACGAGGACGGCGACGGAGACCACGACGACGACGACGACGACGACGACGACGACGACGACGACGACGACGACGACGACGACGACGACGACTATCAGGCGGGCCGTCTTCCTTACGATCTCCTGCCTTAAACCCTTGGCTTTTGCTCTTCCCTCCCCCCGCACCGACTGGGAAGAGGGATCTCGACGGCATCGGCGTGGTCGCTGGACATTGCCCGCAGCTCGAAGCTCGGAGGCGGGCGGGAAGCGAAGCGGAGACGGGCGGTGGGTGGGGCCCCAGACATGCGATGTCTTGATGTTTGTTCAATGCGCGGCCCCTTTTCGCGGGGTCGGTTTTCCATCCAGGGTCGTTTCTTGACTGTTCCAGGGCCCGTCGAGGGCCCTTCGAGCCGAAAAGGGACGAAGAAAAAGTCCGTCGTGATTTTTTCACGACACGAGCATGTCAGGGGTGCAGAGGCGGAAGACGACTGGGGACACCAGACGGTACCGATACCGCCACTCCCCACACCTCTCCTGCGGTGCGCTCTGACCAGGATGTCGAGACGAATCCGGCGGTGGCGACTAGGGCTTCTCAGGAGGCCCAGACAGGGCGAAAACGAGGGAAGAAGATCGGTATACAGCCGAAAATATGATCAAGAAGATCATCACTTAAGAAACCTGGGCCAGCTTTCTGGACATTTCTTAAGACAAGCCTGGCCACGTTGTTGCGTCAGCGCTGGAAGGGCGAACGCGCTCCAAAAATTGCGCCAGCTCTCTGGCAAAGTTGGCGCCGGCCCAGCTCTTCGAGAGAAGGTCTCTTAATCAGATGCTCGACTGTAGATACCCTTTCCTCTCGGGTCGGGCGAAAGGGGGGGATAGCAAAGGGGGGGCTTGAGAATCAGCTCACGCAGCTGATTTTCCCGGCGCCTCCCGGCGCCGGAGGCGACTACGTATCGAGGAATGGGCCCCTCGGTGAGGCCGAAGCCAGCTGCATGCAGCAAATTTTAAAACAGGGCTAGGATCGGGATAAATCGCTCCAGAGCGTTCCGGAGCGCTCTCAGAGCGTTCCGGAACGCTCTGGAGCGGCCGCGGCGCCCAATACATCCTCCAAACCCGCCGATTCTCAGAGATTTCGAGTTATCCCGATCCGATTTTGTCCCGATCTTCGCGTCGTTTTACCCCCCCCCTTTCCCAATCCCCCCCCTTCGCCCGGCCCGATCCTCCTCCGAGACGGGGAGGGGGAGGAGGAGGAGGAGGAGGAGGAGGAGGAGGAGGAGGAGGAGGGAGGAGGAGGAGGAGGGGGAGGAGGAGGAGGAGGAGGAGGAGGAGGAGGAGGAGGGAGGAGGAGGAGGAGGAGGAGGAGGAGGAGGAGGAGGAGGAGGAGGAGGAGGGGGGGAGGGGGAGGAGGAGGAGGAGGAGGAGGAGGAGGAGGAGGAGGAGGAGGAGGAGGAGGAGGAGGAGAGGAGGAGGAGGAGGAGGAGGAGGAGGAGGAGGAGGAGGAGGGAGGAGGAGGAGGAGGAGGAGGAGGAGGAGGAGGAGGAGGAGGAGGAGGAGGAGGAGGAGGAGGAGGGGAGGAGGAGGAGGAAGGAGGAGGAGGAGGAGGAGGAGGAGGAGGAGGAGGAGGAGGGGGAGGAGGAGGAGGAGGAGGAGGAGAGGAGGAGGAGGAGGAGGAGGAGGAGGAGGAGGAGGAGGAGGAGGACGGCGGCCGACCGCCGACGGGCGGCTGCGGGGCGCCAGACGGGGAGCCGCCCGCGCCGTCCAGGCGCGCGGCCGCGGCGCAGAGCGCGGAGTCGAAGGAGGAGCGGCGGCTCGGGGCCGCGGGCTCCGCCCCGGCGCCTGGGCGTCGTCGGCCTCGTCGCCGGTCGTCCGCCGTCCGCCGTCCGCCGCCGCCGCCGTCCGCCGCCGCCGTCGCCGTCGCCGCCGTCGTCGCCGCCGTCGTCGTCGCCGTCGTCGTCGCCGTCGTCGTCGCCGTCGCCGTCGTCGCCGTCGTCGTCGTCGTCGTCCGTCGTCCGTCGCCCGTCGTCCTTCGTCCGTCGTCCGTCGTCGTCCGTCGCTGTCGTCCGTCGTCCTCATCGTCGGCCTCTCCCCACCTCCTCTCGCTGTGGAATAACTACGACGGGAAATTCCTGGCAAGCTTCGGACTTTGGCGGCGCGCACAAGGGGGTAGGGGGAGGGGGGAAGGCTTCTTAGAAGGAGACTGCTTCTTAGAAGGCGCCGGCCTTACATCTACAAAGAAGGCCCGCGCCTTCTAAGAAGCAGGGGTGCTTCTAAGAAGCCTTCCCCCTCCCCCTACCCCCTTCTGCGCGTGGCCAGGGACTGCGACAGCTCTCACAGGGCCCGGTACTGTAGAAAAATGGCTCGGGATAACGACACGGTCCTGGGGAAGGGTGTCAATTTCTGGGGGGCCAGGTTGTGAACGTAACACGGCGCCTGGGCACGCCGAACTCGTCCGAAGTCGCCCGTCGTCGGCCTGCCCCGAGGCCCGGGCAGTGCAACTTTTCCACACCAAGCGTTCTCGCCCACTTTCGGGCCCCAGGACGATCCCAGGTCGAGCCGGCTCGTGAAGTGCCGCCGGAAGATCGGGTCTGGGCCCCTGTTTCGGTTTTTCGAGCTTTTGCAGCTGCTTCGTAGCCCTAGATATCAGGGCCGTCGTCGGTCGTTCGTCGTCCTTCGCCCGTCGTGCGCCGTCCGTCGTCGGTCGCGCGTCGTCCGTTGTCGGTTGTCGATCGTCCGTCGTCGTCGGTCGTCCGTCGTCGTCGGTCTCGCGCCGAGCGGTTGCTGCGGGCTGTCCGCTCGCCAGGGCCCCGTTGCCGTTGCTGGGCGGTGGACGAAGGCGTCGTCGTCGCCAGCGTTGATGCCACAGCCGCCGCCGTCGTCGTCGTCGTCGTCGTCGTCGTCGTCGTCGTCGTCGTCGTCGTCGTCGTCGTCGTCGTCGTCGTCGTCGTGGTCTCCGTCGCCGTCGTCTCCGTCGCCGTCGTCCCGTCGCCCGTCGTCGGTCGTCGGTCGTCGGCCTTCCGTCGTCGTCGCTGGTTGTCCATCGTCCTCGCCGCCGTAATCGTCGTCGTCGTCGTCGTCGTCGCCGTCACCGTCGCCGTGGGCCGTCGCGACGTCGTCCACACTTGTTCTCCGCCCTCCCTCATTCCCTCCCCCCGCCCTCCCTCCCGCCTCCATCCCGCCCTCCCTCCCTCGCGACCTCGCTCCCTCGCTCCCTCCTTGCTCCGCCCTCCTCCTCCTCCTCCTCCTCCTCCTCCTCCTTGCTCCGCCTTCTTCCTCCTCCTCCTTCTGCCTCCCTCCCCTGTCACGTGCGGTGCGGCAGTGGCGGCCTCTGCGCGCCCTGGCGTGGTCCCCCCCGCGCCCCGGCGGCCACCCCTGCGAGGGGCTACCCTTGTGTAGCCTGTAGCCTGTAGCCGACCCCTGTTCGCTCCCGCGCAGCTCTGGCCACGTTCCTGGTGCGGTCTTGCGCTGGCCACGCGAATCCGTGAGTCTGCTCATTTTCCGCGTCCCTCCTCCTCCTCCTCCTCCTCCTCCTCCTCCTCCTGTTCTTCT